TCCCTCCAGGTCCAGAGCAAAGTCTCACACCTCCTCCATTTCAAATTTACACTGTGATCATAAGACGACAACATGTCCATGAATAGTCCATTAGCAAGGCTATCCACCATTCTTCCATGAGGCAGAAATACCACCCAGAAATGGAACAGCCCTAAGTGTATTGTTTATGTCGGTCTCTGAAAGACACTGGCAATGAATTTACAGGTGTTTGTGTAGAAAATAGAGAAAAGCTTGAAGAATCAGTCAGAAGTGGAATGAAATGCAGCAACCGTTTTAACAACTCGCACCAACATGGCATGAGAAGAAGCGAAGACAGCAAGAAAGAATGTCATGCAATTAATCAGTTCATAATTAATACTTTGCACTTATATAACATTTGCACAATACACTGTACTAAATTAACTAAGAATATAATCTAATGGACACTGCAAGGGGATTACGGACACATAAGAGCAGGTGGAATATAGCCCAGATCACTCAGGCTAACCTTAACCTTGTTAAAACTGAAAGGGAGATCTTTTTAATGACCTTTGCTCATGAGATCTGCTCGCGATAACATCACAAGACACTGAGGGTATGTCTAGACTGCATCCCTCTGTCAACAGAGGGATGCAGATTAGGCAGGTCGACATTTAAATATCCCGTGCCTAATTTGTATAAAAATGGCAGCCGCGTTTTGCCAACTCGGCGCTTTGTCGGCAAAAAGTGGCAGACTAGAGGGGGATCTGTTGAGACAGAAAGCCTTTTTCGACAGATCCTGTAAACCTCCTTGCAGGAGGAATAAGAGAGCCTCATTTGCCGACAGAGGGATGCAGTCTAGACATACCCTCAGAATGTAATAGATTATAACAAGTGTGGTGTATCCACAGAGCCAAGAAAAAAAAATGTAGTACAACTAACATCAGTTACGTTTTCATGCCACATGCTTCCTTACTCTCTCTGACAACAGCTTCTGCACTTCAGTGTCCTGAAAGGCTTTTGGGAGAACTGTCACGGAAATGTGAATTATTAGGAAACCTGAAGAATGAGGCTTGATTTGTTAGGTTATATGTTATTCCGTGTAGAACAGGCAATAATTCTATACACCCAGAAGATGTCATCCCAGGGCCTTCCATTGAAGGATGTTAGGCAAAACTCAGATGAGTTGACAGGAAGTGTTTTCTATCTAATGAGTGAGGCAGTCAGTTTGTTACAGCCATGGCATCGATGACACAAAACATGATCTTTAGGGCTTTTTTGTAAAAAGGTATGTGTTTTTGTCATGCCCACAGCTGCACGAGTGTTCACAGATTTAGCTCTCTCTGGGTATGTCTACACTACAAAGTTAATTCGAACTAAGCTAATTCGAATTAGTGCATCTAGACTTAAAAACTAGTTCGAATTAAGCGCTCCGCTAGTTCGAATTAAGCGCTCCGCTAGTTCGAATTAAGCGCTCCGCTAGTTCGAATTAAGCGCTCCGCTAGTTCGAATTAAGCGCTCCGCTAGTTCGAATTAAGCGCTCCGCTAGTTCGAATTAAGCGCTCCGCTAGTTCGAATTAAGCGCTCCGCTAGTTCGAATTAAGCGCTCCGCTAGTTCGAATTAAGCGCTCCGCTAGTTCGAATTAAGCGCTCCGCTAGTTCGAATTAAGCGCTCCGCTAGTTCGAATTAAGCGCTCCGCTAGTTCGAATTAAGCGCTCCGCTAGTTCGAATTAAGCGCTCCGCTAGTTCGAATTAAGCGCTCCGCTAGTTCGAATTAAGCGCTCCGCTAGTTCGAATTAAGCGCTCCGCTAGTTCGAATTAAGCGCTCCGCTAGTTCGAATTAAGCGCTCCGCTAGTTCGAATTAAGCGCTCCGCTAGTTCGAATTAAGCGCTCCGCTAGTTCGAATTAAGCGCTCCGCTAGTTCGAATTAAGCGCTCCGCTAGTTCGAATTAAGCGCTCCGCTAGTTCGAATTAAGCGCTCCGCTAGTTCGAATTAAGCGCTCCGCTAGTTCGAATTAAGCGCTCCGCTAGTTCGAATTAAGCGCTCCGCTAGTTCGAATTAAGCGCTCCGCTAGTTCGAATTAAGCGCTCCGCTAGTTCGAATTAAGCGCTCCGCTAGTTCGAATTAAGCGCTCCGCTAGTTCGAATTAAGCGCTCCGCTAGTTCGAATTAAGCGCTCCGCTAGTTCGAATTAAGCGCTCCGCTAGTTCGAATTAAGCGCTCCGCTAGTTCGAATTAAGCGCTCCGCTAGTTCGAATTAAGCGCTCCGCTAGTTCGAATTAAGCGCTCCGCTAGTTCGAATTAAGCGCTCCGCTAGTTCGAATTAAGCGCTCCGCTAGTTCGAATTAAGCGCTCCGCTAGTTCGAATTAAGCGCTCCGCTAGTTCGAATTAAGCGCTCCGCTAGTTCGAATTAAGCGCTCCGCTAGTTCGAATTAAGCGCTCCGCTAGTTCGAATTAAGCGCTCCGCTAGTTCGAATTAAGCGCTCCGCTAGTTCGAATTAAGCGCTCCGCTAGTTCGAATTAAGCGCTCCGCTAGTTCGAATTAAGCGCTCCGCTAGTTCGAATTAAGCGCTCCGCTAGTTCGAATTAAGCGCTCCGCTAGTTCGAATTAAGCGCTCCGCTAGTTCGAATTAAGCGCTCCGCTAGTTCGAATTAAGCGCTCCGCTAGTTCGAATTAAGCGCTCCGCTAGTTCGAATTAAGCGCTCCGCTAGTTCGAATTAAGCGCTCCGCTAGTTCGAATTAAGCGCTCCGCTAGTTCGAATTAAGCGCTCCGCTAGTTCGAATTAAGCGCTCCGCTAGTTCGAATTAAGCGCTCCGCTAGTTCGAATTAAGCGCTCCGCTAGTTCGAATTAAGCGCTCCGCTAGTTCGAATTAAGCGCTCCGCTAGTTCGAATTAAGCGCTCCGCTAGTTCGAATTAAGCGCTCCGCTAGTTCGAATTAAGCGCTCCGCTAGTTCGAATTAAGCGCTCCGCTAGTTCGAATTAAGCGCTCCGCTAGTTCGAATTAAGCGCTCCGCTAGTTCGAATTAAGCGCTCCGCTAGTTCGAATTAAGTTCGAACTAGCGGTTTGCCTGTGTAGCCCCTATCAAAGGTAATTTGAACTAACGTCTGTTAGTTCGAATTAACTAATTCAAACTAAGTTAGTTCGAATTAGTGCTGTAGTGTAGACGTACCCTCTGTGACCAGTGTACTGGAGAAGGTTGTTCAAATGATTTTATACTGTTAAATGCTTTAAAGTATTTTATTGTAAAACAAGTTTACCCGACTTTTCTTTTGATTTCCAATGACCATGAACAACCCGACTTCCTTATAGCCAAATCTCTACCTTATCTGCAGACAATACAGAACATATGAACAGCACATTTTGCTCTGATTTAAAACTGACCGAGTTGATACTGTCTCTGTGACCGAGTTTGTGTCCCCTTTCCTTCTGATTTTTGCTGTTCCTATCTCAACACATGAGAAATTGAAGGTCCATCCACTCTGGCAGAACAACTATCCCAGTCTAAAGCCTGTCCTATAACATCAGCAAATGAAGGAGCCAGATGCCAGAGAGTCTGTGTTGCTCTACCTCCTTAAGGTAGGTCAATTTGAAAGAAGTGATGACATGATCCTCCTGAGGAAAATGATCAAACACAGCACATTTAAATCCATTCAAGGCTTGACCCAGAGCCTCACCTCCTCTCCACTGACTTCAAGGGTCTTTGGATCGGGCCTTCTCCTCTCATGTGGTTGTCTGGTTCACTTTTGCCTTGTTGCCACAATTATCATAGATATTTGTTCATTTCCCCCCTCTCAGGCCATCTTTCTCTGCCACCCTGGTGCTCTGGAATCAGTTGCAATTCCCAGTTCTAAGATCCATTCATTTCCATGGTTTAAAGACTGATGTAACAAACACACAGCTATGAGCTCACTGCAGATTTAAGAAGCAAAGACAAACCCTGCTTGTGTAAGGAACAGAGCTAGTATTCAAGCAAAACACCTTCAACAATAGTAAAGGGGAGTACTGAAAAAATTAGTGGCAAAGTCAAGAACTTTCTGTATAAACTTTTAGTCCTTTTGGAATTCTGTAACTGTTGCATTTAATGCACCATTGTTTTAAATATGTCACTTCATAAACATCCATCGTCAAAGTCATCTAATGCCTTTGCCTATTTGAAGGTAAAGAGAAGCACATAAAAGAGTCCACTTTTTTTGCTGGAGAGGTCATTCTTAAAGCTCACACTCAACATTCATTGATTTTTTTAAAAATTTCCTGCTATAACTTTAATTCCACCTTCAAATACTCACTCCCACAGACATGATATAAACCAGCTTGGCAGCGAACTAGCTTACAAATGTTCTTAGAACTGAGTGGAAATGAGGAAAATAGATTTCTGAGGTAGTTATAGTGGGAGAAAAAGAATGGACAGTTAGCCAGTCTAAGTAAAGAACACTGAAAAAGTCCGAGTGGCAGCGTACATTGTTGGGTCTAAAGTGGTCAAAGCCTAACAAGAACAGAAAAAGACAGGAGGCACCACTCCAGTTCTAAAGAGAACTGAAATCATGCTCATTGGTTATTTTGAAGTAACTGACGTATTTCGAAATAACTATGCGAGCGTCTACACAGCAATTCCATTATTTTGAAACAATTTCGAAATATCAGACGGTTTATTCCGACTTCTGGAAACCTCATTCTATGAAGAATAACACCTATTCTGTTATTTCAGAATAGGGGCTGTGTAGACAGGGCAACAGTTGTTTCAAAATAAGAAGCCTCCAGACCTTCCAAGGGTGCCCTGCTGGCCGCTCTGTCCACACTCAGCCAAACTCTATTCCACCCCACTCCTGTCCTGGAGCCCTTAAAGCTGCAGCCTCAGCTGAAAGGGCTTGTGGCATGCAGGAGACCCTGACAGTTCTGAGCCAGCCTTCAGCTACCCTTGCCTCGCTTTTCCCAAAAAAATGGCCCAGTCTGCTGCTCCCACCCAGTGCTCCACTACTGCCAGAGAACAGTCAGACAGCTTCCAGGAGCCTGCCAGGGACTGAAAAAGACACGCGCCTTCCTGGTGTGGTGATGAGATCCTGACCCTTAGGGGTCATAGTGGACCACAAGTTGAATATGAGTCAACAGTGTGATGCTGTTGCAAAAAAAGCAAATATGATTCTAGGTTGTATCAACAGGTGTGTTGTAAGCAAAACTCGTGAAGTCATTCTGCCGCTCTACTCTGCACTAGTTAGGCCTCAGCTGGAGTACTGTGTCCAGTTCTGGGCGCCACATTTCAAGAAAGATGTGGAGAAATTGGAAAGGGTACAGAGAAGAGCGACAAGAATGATTAAAGGTTTAGAGAACATGACCTATGAAGCCAGGCTTCATGAACTGGGCTTGTTTAGTTTGGAAAAAAGAAGATTAAGGGGGGACATGATAGCGGTTTTCAAATATCTAAAAGGGTGTCACAAGGAAGAAGGAGAAAATTTGTTCCTCTTGGTTTCTGAGGACAGGACAAGGAGTAATGGGCTTAAAGTGCAGCAGGGGAGGTTTAGATTGGACATTAGGAAAAAATTCCTAACTGTCAGGGTGGTCAAATATTGGAATAAATTGCCAAGGGAGGTGGTGGAATCTCCCTCTCTGGAGATATTTAAGAACAGGTTAGATAGACATCTGTCAGGGATGGTGTAGACGGAGCTTGGTCCTGGCTTGAGGGCGGGGGGGCTGGACTCGATGACCTCTCGAGGTCCCTTCCAGTCCTATGATTCTATCTCATTGAGGTTTGGAGTGACAAGACCAGCCTTCAGGATCTCCGCATCAGATGCAGGAACGCGGATGTCTATGGCCAGATGGCTAAGAGCATGGCCACAAAAGGACACATCCGCACACAGGAGCAGATGTGGATGAAGGTAAAAGAGCTCTGCCAGGCACATGCCAGGGCCAGGGCGGGCAGCTCCCGCTCTGGGGCAGAACCCCACATCTGCCCTTAATTCAAGAACCTGGACTACATCCTGCAGTGTGGGGAAGTGCCTCCCCCTCTGCCCACCCATTGTAGACTCCGGGCTTGAGACGCCAGTAGTCAACCTCGCAGGGGTAGAGACAAGGAGGAGGAGGAGCCGGATGAGGCCAGCACCAGCACCCTCCTGACCCTGGAGCCAGTACCCCTTCCTATGGACATGTCCCAGGCACCATCTGAGGCCAGGGATGGAACGTCATGTGAGTGCCATCACTTTCCCTTCACACAGGGTGGGCGGTGAGGGGTAGCTGGGTGCTTCTCGCTTGGCCCTTGCGGCCCAGGGATCACGCAGCAGCCTGTGCTCTTGGGAGTATGTGTTGCGCCGCTCCTGACCACACAGCCCCAGGAGGCTGCCACAAAGGATCCTTGTGCTACAGAGTGTCTGGACAGGCCTGCCATCTCATGACCCCTGGGTGGGACGCCCCCCCTCGACAAACCACTTCTAGCAAAAGGCTGGGGACATTGTCACACATACACACACACACACACACACACACATGGGGCACACAGTGTAGACTAAGCCTGACTGTGCATGCACTCCCGAGTAAAGGGCATCTCAGATGCTCTCCTGGTTCTCCCTTAACTCCAGGGACAATAATCTGCTGTCATCCTAGACCAGAATCAGATTTTCCTCCTCACAGTCTTCACTTCACTAGCCACTGAGTTGGGCAAGAGGAGCCAGGTTGGGCTCAGATCTCACCCCTCTGAGCCCACACCCTGACCACCTGCATGTGGAGGGGAGCGTAGCAGCTCATAAAGCAGGCTCCTTCATCTACACGTGGACTAGTAACTCAGAGAAGACACAAGAGGGAACATATGGGCATGTTACACCCCCTTGTATCCTTGTGTTGTTTTCAATGGCAACTCATAATTTTGCCCTTAACGTTAAAGACAAGGATGAGCAAGGGCTCTGTCGTATTGAAACAGGGATAGGGGGATAGGGGGTGACATTCTTTTTTTCCAGTGCAGCACAAATTACATGGACCTTTTAAGTCATTAAAAATAACAGAACAGGGAACTCAGAAGACTCTGAAGCCAGCTTGCAAAATCTCAGTTCTATTTCATCCAGGTCATATATTTTACATTCATTAAGTTTTAACACCTCCTTGTTGCACCTCAGTAGCTTTCATTTTCTCAGAATAAATTGTTAGCGTTTGGGGAATGTTGAGCCGGTGCTTCAGGAGGCTGACTGAGAGTATGTTGCTCTGAAAGGGCTTTTTGCCTTTGCAATTATAGTTAAAGGAAGAGTAGGTAGTGGTGGGGGGCGGTGGGGAGGCAGAGGATGGCTCCAGGGAGAGGATATCTATTTTATTTATTTCAGTTCATTTAGAAAGTGTCAGTCTAGTGTTCTGGGTTCATATATGAAATTTAAAAAACTAAGGCATACCAACTGGAACCAATGACCCACCACTGGAACCCCTCCCCACATCTGAGACACCTGCCTACTAGCACCACCCCGCTCAACCCTCCTTTCCAGCTAAAAACCTGCAATGGGATCAAAAGCAAACAGGCAATCAGTAAAAGATCAGTAAAGGCTGGGGTTAGCTGTCTGAATTCTACTGTGGTGACATCAGCGGGAAGAAGTGGTCTCAGAGAAGCTCGGACGCATCTCCTTCATTCCCATGCAAAATGAATTGGAAGCCAAAGCAAATTGCAGAGCACAGTTGTCATGTTCTTTCTGCAAGAGACATTGTTATGCAAATGAGCAGCTACATTCTGTACAGCTGTGGATGGTTTGCAGTGGAAAGAAGGGGAGAATTCTCTGGCTCTAGATCTGAGTTTGAATCCAGCCCAGGTGAGTGAGTCATTAGCATAGTATACTACTTATGTTAAACAATCTGTTCTCACTCTAGTTCCTGTTTGGAGAGGTGCATGCACCTCCATTGATGTTAACAGGAATTCTCACTGACAGTCTCACTATAGATGCCAAAGACATGATAGGCAGTGAGACTGATCTCTCCTCTGATACCTTGAAAGTCATCCCTACAGAAGAGAGCTGAAAAATAGTGAGACAGTGTAAGAAAACTGAAAATATCCATGGATCACCTGTGGATAAGCAGCGCTTGACTGGAGAATACCATGACAATAAATTGGTTCCAAACACAAACAATTACACTTTGTTTCCATGATGCCTAGCACCAATCCCAACTGTGGCCGCTGGTCAACAAACTGACATGCTGGCTGGAAGGCTCACAGTTGTGCATGCCCACCTCAGGCAGACTGTTAGATACCTGGGCACAAGTCCCAAACTGGTTTTGTGTTCTGCAATTAGATTTCACCAAGTATTAAATCTGAACTCCTCAAGCACTATGTCAGCCTCAACATGGAGCCCTGGACACTCCGGTCTATCTTGACACCTAGTCATGTCAGTGTGTGTAAAAGTTGGTCTCTTTCACCAAAAAGCACAATAATATTTAGGTCTCTCCCGGTACCAAAGGACCAGTCACTACAGGTCAGTTGCACCTCAGAGCTCATACCACAGACAAGCCTTGTAGCCAATCCTAAAATAGACTAACTAGAGATTTATTAATTAGGAAAAAGAAATAAGAGAGTTGTTTACAAGGTTAAAGCAGATAAACACACAAATGAGTTACAGTCTTAGATTTCAAAAGCATTAGAACCTGCTGAAATATGTAAGCTCTATATCTCCTTTAGGGCTAACCTATGCAAAATAGCTGGGAGTCCTTTGCTTATGATTCCAGAAGGCCAAGCAGCATAAGGAGAATAAATTGTTCTCGACATGGATTTTTAATCCCTTTCCCCAGAGCTCAAATGGATGGGTGAGCATTTGTGCACATCTCCTCCTCATATGTGTGGAGAAGCAATCAGCACAACCTTT